GTCGAGGGAGGAAAAGTCGAGAGGGGCTGATCTGAACGGGGGGCGCGACAGCGACAACCCCGGAGTCGGATCCTGCCGCTTTCGGCTCTTGGCGGCCTCAGCCTCGGCTTCCAGTTACCGGAGTCGTTTCGATGGAGCCTTTTCGCGTCCCTCCCTCCCTCCTACGCCCCCCCCCTCGCCCCCGCGTCTGAGCAGCCCCGTTGCCAACCCTCAGGGTCAGCCGCGGATAAATAGGGAGCCGAGAATTGGATCCTGGCAATGGTCGAATAACTTCTACTTTCTGGGGTTCGACATTTACCTATTCTGCCTTGCGAAGGAAGAACGCCGTATGGGAGCGTTCATAAATTACGTAACACATTTTTGGAGGCATTTTTGGGGCATTTTTTGGGGCACTTTTTGGCATTTTTTACTCCCTCCCCCTTGTCTGAACTACCCCGTTGCCAACCCTCAGGGTCAGCTGCAGATAAATAGGGAGCCTCGGATTGGATCCTAGCAATGGTCGAATAACTTTTACTTTCTGGAGTTCGACGTTTACCTATTCTGCCTCACTGAGGAAGAACGCTGTATAGGAGCGTTCATAAATTACGTGACGCATTTTTTTGACATTTTAGGGACATTTTTTAGATTTTTGATCCCCCTTTCTCCCTCGTCTGAACTGCCCCGTTGCCAGCCCTCAGGGTCAGCGGCAGATAAATAGGGAGCCGAGGATTGGATCCTGGCAATGGTCGAATAACTTTTACTTTCTGGGGTTCGACATTTACCTATTCTGCCGCGCTGAGAAAGAACGCTGTATGAATATTCGGGGGTTTTCAAATTTTCCTTGATAAAACATGTATTTTTGACAAAATTCATGCATATTTTTCCTTACAATCTTCAGATATTTTAGATTAAATTGAGTACAAAATTTTCTGAAAATTATGGAAAATTATATTCGCAATTTACCCGGTAAATTCGGTTTTTATCGGAGGAAATTTGGCAACGTCTGAAGGCTCATACGGCGTTTTTCCTCTGTACGGCAGTATGGGAGCTTCCATACATAAAGTAACACATTTCTTGGCATTTTTGACCCCCCCTCCCTCTCCCCCCTTGTCTGAACTACCCCGTTGCCAACCCTCAGGGTCGGCCACAGATGAATAGGCGGCCTCGGATTGGATCCTGGCGATGGTCGAATAACTTTTACTTTCTGGGCTTCAACATTTGCCTATTCTGCCTTGCGGAGGAAGAACGGCCTGGGAGCATTCATAAATTTTGGACTTTTTCTATAAAAAGGCGTATGAGGCTTGCAATGCTGCTGAAATTTCCATGAGTAGAACATGAGGGCTTTGAAAGTGTTATCACCGAAAAAAAATGTGTGGAGGGGCACAAAGTAGCACCGTGAATGCATTAGTGCAAAGCTAAACAGAAAATGGAAGAGAAGTCGGAATCCTCGAAGACTCGCAGACCAAGATCGGATGGAAGAAAGAAGATGGAAAGGAAGTGCAGCAGCAATGAAGAAGAGAAGTATAAGAAAAAAAGAAAGAAAAAAAGAAGAATAACTGGACAGAAAAGTTACCAAGGAACAATACTGAGATCCTCTCGTTTTCGAACGGTTTTTGTGATCCTAAAATTACGTAAGATGATGAAAAAAAGGGAGGAGATGGAAGGGGGGAAAAGTAGATACAATAAATACTGAAGGAGGAGCGAAGGAATGAGTGAGAAAGTCTGAGTGTGAAATTAGTCGCATTATGTCCTATCTTAAACCCTTGCTAGTTCCTACTGATTAAAAAGTGTCATGAAATACATCCTTCCTTTTTTTACCCTCTCATTATACTTCTTCGCCACCCGCCTCCCCTTGACACCCCGTGAAACATCTCTGTACCGCACTGCCACCCTGCGTTGATAACTTTTTTCCGCTTTTTTGTCGGAAGTTTTCAGTTAAATTCATTTGTAAGGATCTTATAAACTTGTGTAATGAAATTAACTTTAATAAAGCATACTTTTCCTCTCTATCCACCCCCACCCTTCGTCCGTTCCTTAAAACTCTTTTCTTCTTTTTATATTCTCGGTTACCCTTATTTTCATAATTATTCCTTTTTCATTTTTTTATACCAAAGATTTTTCTTTCAATTCCTCCCGCAAAATTTATTATTTAAAAATCAAAGCGAGGAAATAATTTATTGCTTTTTACTCTACATCTCACGTCAGTTTCAAATTTCAACTGAAAATGAAAGAAAAAATCACCAATTCAGTTCTAGAAAACGGTTTATTGAAGTATTTTCTTATACTGCTAATACTTTTCTCATCGTTACTGTGCCAGACATGTTCAAAATGTTTTATTGTAAGATTGTTATTTAGAAAGTTGGTGGCACATTGAAACATTTCGAGGAATTAAGTAACTCCCAAAGTTGTACTGAGTTCAAAATCAGGTAAACCTGTATTTATTTCATAGTGTATTTTTTATACTTACCGCAACTATTTCCGTGTAAAACATAATTGAAAAAGGAAACGAAATACTAACTGTCTTTTGTAGCACTGAAGGATTTGCTAGTGTTATTTTCTGTTTTCTTATGTCATTAAAGTTTCAAAATTACAGATAGTTGTAAAAAAGAAGGAAAATTAGAGGAAAAATCTGAATATCTTGTCGTAATATAACGTCAAACTTTTTGAATGCTGCTTTTAAAATAGAAAATATCTTCAGCAAATGAAGAATAAGCTAACTATCCAAGGCTGGAGCACACGCGAAGAAGAAAATGTAAATCTTACCTGAAATCTCCTCATATCTCGTGGATTGCCTGCATTCTTCAGACAGTTTTGATTGCACTTAAGGAAAAATTTTAGAAAAAATCTGAAACAAAAGAAATAATGAAACCACGTTAATACGATATTGAATACTGAAACAAAAATCAACCAATTAAAAACTAAGCAGAGGCAGGTCGGTGCAGTAGCCGGTAAGCTAAGCGCTCTCTCTTTGCGCCTTCCGAGAATGCCACGTTATGGGCTGAGCAACTATACTAACGTCCCGGAGCGCAAATTGCCTACTTGAGCAATTTAAGGCGAACCGCGAACCGACAGCGATTCAATCACTCCTTTACGCTGCGTTTTGACGTATTGATGCAAGTCTTTCGTGTGTCGTGGCATTACGTGTAAGGCATACGAGACGGACGTCGTGTTAAGAGGTTTTCCATGGAATATTTCCCGGGATGATTTCTGAACGTCTACAAATTACGTGAGCAAAAATTCATCAGTTTAATATCAATAGGACAATAAAAGTATGCAAATCAAATTAAGAAAGTAATAGAAAGATACAACGAAAAGAGAAAAAATAGGCTAGCGACTCGAGATCCAAAAACAGAAGACGTTTTGAATAAATTATGAGAGCGGCGATGCGCAAAGTGAAAACTCATTCGAAGAAGTCGAACCCAAACAAGACGGCAAAAATCCGGCGCTGGGTACTTCTAGTATGTGCAATAATAACGGGCGGCGAAGGGTGGATAAACGAGTAACTACGGATCTCCCTGGAGGGTTGCAGGGGTAGCAGGTTCATAGATTATTCAGTCACCGATCCCTGGAGTAGGGCTCAGTCTAGTAATTGGGGTGTAAAACTGGAGGTGCCCGCTGACTGCCATGCACTCGCCACAATGGTTCCCCCGGCCGGAACAGGGTGCCGCCGCTTTGAGTGGGCGCGCTATCGAAGTATACAAGTACCAATTTACGACTCATGCATAGGAAAATATTTAAACTAAAAAGAGACATAACTTATCACTTTTTATGTCATGTGACATAAAATGTGTAAAGTCCGTTTGTTTGCAAAATTGCATGTATAAAATTGGACTGATTAAATACTTGGTTATTGAGCGAGAGTTGAAACATTTTGAATGTGCCTTTTCTTTCAGAATTGTTTCTACCATTACGGCAAAGTACTCATGTAGATATGAAAAAGAGGAGAAGAAAACCAAAGAGAGAAAGAGGATTGAGGAGGAGGAGGAGAAGAAGAAGAGTGAGAGGTAGAGGAAGAAATATTGAAAATAATATGTTTTATATTATTAAACCTTGAGGCTTTGGACAAAAAATTTAATAAAATTGCATTTTAATGTACTGAATTCTTATCTTTGCAACGCAATGCAATTGACAAAGAACTTTTTAAAGAAGGATGAAAAACATAGCAATTAAATTGCTTAAGTTATGCAACTTTTCCTTCAACGTGTGAACTAATTGACTGTAGACAAAAAACATTAAATTTCAGGGTTTTGTCACATTTAATTCATATGATGATTTATTTGAGCAGATGGAAACTGCTTAAATGATCGGGTAGCATCTTGCAAAATGATAGGAGTTGTACGATGTTAGGAACGTCGGCATGCTTTTTATTGTCCAAACATGTTTGTAATTAATTCCGAAATAAAAATTTAAATTTAACATCCAAATATTAGTAGCATACCATTTTTCAAAACTTCAAGAACCAAAAAAATCACCATCCCGATTTGAATATGAAATTTAATTTTTAACTAATCAAAATTATCTTCAAAAACTTTCATAAATTATTAGTGTGGTTTAGCTGATTCACTAATGTTCACCGCTGTACACATAACCAGCATCCACCCTACTTTAATACACCCACGTGTATTATCTACACAGCTTTTAATGCAGACATGGAGGCAATGCACTAATGCTCGTCTAATCGATTCGTAATAGTCATATTTTACTTTTATGAACATGCAAGAATTTGGGCCCTTCTGGATCGCAGTGCACCGCTTCCCTTCTTCGGATTAGCTAGGCCATTAATTTAAAACTACCGAATTAAACTGGTAGTGATTAGATAAATTGCCATAGGGATAGGTTTCAATAATTTTTCATCGCAATTGACCTAGTTCAGCCGACTATTTAAACCCTAATCCTTTCAACTTCATAAATCTGACTCGATTCCTACAGAGCATAAGCCAGAGCGACGAAAACTCAAAGTTCCGCGAGCCGCAAATATGCCATGAGAATTTCATTCACGTGGAAACGTATGAATATTTTAGACGGATCCTGTATTTTCGTTTCCATAGAATTATATCCAGTTCAGCTTGCGGAAGCATAATTTTATCACCACGATGAAAGATATTCTCGCTTTCAATCAGATTTCCCCGACTGAAGATAGATAGATTAACTTTAGGATGCCCATAGTGATGTCGTCTGACTTTTAAAGTATCCAGGAGATGAGATCATGAGTTAAATATGTTACGTTTATCCTTGACTTTGTGGCCAATTTATACATTTGTCAGATTGTTTGACCGGGAGGAAAGAATTCTTCGAAATCAGAATTTTTGTTTGTCTGTTTGTTTTTAATCCTCCCAAGAATCGTAATATGTGATCAAATTAGAACCTTTCCTCGGTTCTGAGAATCTGTCCTCAGAATTTTATTTGCCAACGCGACCGATTGATTTGATCAGAGATAAAATTACAAAGCCCTGTTCTTGATGAATTCTATTTATATTCATCCACAAATATGCCAAACTCTATCAAAATTTCATTCGCGAGGAAACGTATGAATATTTTAGTAATGTGTTCTTAGAATTAGGTCATTCCAGTTCAGCTTGCGGGAACACAATTTTATCTCCATGATAAAAGATTCAATATTCTATGTATATCGGTTAGGGCTCTCTGGAAGGTATCTAAATATATTTAAAAGACTCTTGGACACATTTTACTTAATGCATGATCCAAAATAACGCAGTGCCAGGGTGGCAGCGGCGTGTGTGACTCCATATGACGGACTAATTGTTTCGTGAAGGCAAACACAAGCGAGCGGCTATAAACGGACGCAAAAGTACGGAAGGCTCGGAGACCAAAGACCAAACAGAAGACAGCCTTAATTCGAGGAAGGCAAATATCATACGGCAGAGCATGCAGAGAGCTCCATAAAGAGATATTTGCACAGGCACGAAATGCAAAGAAACTCGACTGCTGTCGCGGATAACCTTTTGCAAAACGTCAGCTAATCTCCCGATATAACCCGCGATCATTCAGTCGTGAAATGAAACTTAAATATTATTCATGTGACTCCTCGTTCATCCCTCAGGATCCGTAAAAAGTGCCCTCTCTACATGACTTCTCTAACGTTCTATTTTCCTCCGGCTCGCGTCCTATTCTTCCCGTCACTTAATTTTTCTCGTTTTCATAATACATATTCACAAATGCACTCCCACTCATCGTCGTGCTACTTGTCAAGAGACTTTCTGAAACTGAATCTCTCGGAAATAAAAATCTTCCTGGCATCTCATGTTGTCTGGTGTCTTGGTATCATTACGTCGTTTCCGAGACGAATGAACGTGGCCACGTTTTAACAAGGCAAAACCTTCATTCGTAAGTTGAACTTTTGTTGTAAAACCGTTAATCATGCATCTCCTACTGAAAATTGTTATTGTGTGTTGTTGTGTCATATTTTTTTCTAGTTATACGCATAGTTTGGCGAAATGTTTGACAGCAATGCTACATTATTATTCTTCAAAAAATTCAAATGTTTGAGTAAATTTCAAAACTTTGGAATAACATTACATTACTTTGATTGGAAAACGACACTTTGACTGAAGCGATCAGGTTTGACGATTCAGGAATTCATTCCCTACAAGCAGGTAGGCTCTACTGCTAAGGAAAAACTCCGTATGAGCCATCGGGCGCTGCCGAAATTCCTTCGATAAATCACGAATTTGCAAGAAAATTTTTGAAAATTTCTCTTCCGATTTTTATGGAGGATTTTGTTCGTAATTTGATCTGAAAAGTCTCAAAATACCAAGGAAAAAAATATTCATAACTTTCTTCGAAAATTAATATTCTCCGAGAGAAAATTTTGTAGCGTTCGATGGTCATACGGCGTCTTTACTCTGCAAGACAGTCTACTTCACGTCACAAAACCTAGGTACATAAAAAATGGAGTAATTGAATCTGCGCTGTCCCTTCATTTTGAGGGTGTATGCAGGTAGCGCTCCTAGATGTTAAAATAGTTGATCTGGTCCTGACATGGAATTTTTGAAAGGAGTAGGAAGAGAACCAAGAAGTTTGTGCTCTATGTTTTACTGTTCGTTGTTCACTAAGGGGGTCTCCTTGTTTCAGTAGCTAAGGAGCCACCTTCATTTACCAGTGGCGGAGCATTGTTGTGAGCGTGCATGTGCGTTAAAAAAACACATTTCCTGAGACAGTGTCCGGAGGCGGTAGGCAATTAGGACAGTGAGTGAGCAAATATGGGCAGGACGGCATAGTGGTGTAATTTGACTTGTGATAAATATTGGTTTAAATAATTCAGATAATACGAGGCAGCGCGTGTTGGCGAAAAGAGGGGATCACTCGCCCTGTTCCAGTGTTCCCTTGCCTGTTCCTCAGATGAAATCAATGATTCAATTTGGCATGGGTAATGTGGATCCCTCCTCTTTCCGTGCCCGCGGGCTCGGCTCTAAATAATGTAGTCCCGTTTCTTTTATAAACCGGGAAATTCGATTTATCATTCAATCTAGATAGTGCAGTCCGTAGTGAGCGCCACCGTCTTTCCTCGTCCGCGCCCGTGACGAATGGACTAATCGATAGATCGAATTATGCATTGACAATTGATGAGAGTGATCAGTGTCCCGCAATTCACCCCTCAATTTCTGAATTCTTGCACCGTTGAAACTTCTTTAAATACACGNGGGGGGGGGGGGGTATGCCTCCTACGGGGTGATTACTGAAATTGATAGACAAAACGATAGACAAAGAAGACGTACGGAGTATGGTGCGATCCTATTGGTTGAAATGGGTGGTTCTTATAAACTAAGAGAGAAAATAATGAACTAACTGTAGGGTCTCTCGTGGGTTGTTGTCAGTTAGTCTATT